TTTTAAAAAAAAAAAAAAAAAAAAAAAAAAAAAAAAAAAAAAAAAAAAAAAAAAAAAAAGAAAGAAAAAAGCAAAATACATAAGAGTTTGTATAGATTATTAGAATTTGTATTAAGAAAAAGAGAAAATAGGGCCGGCCCCGTGGCGTGGCTCACTTGGGAGAGTGCGGCGCTGGGAGCGCTGAGGCCGCAGGTTCGGATCCTATATAGGGATGGCTTGTTCACTCACTGGCTGAGCATTGTGCTGACCACACCGTGCTGAGGGTTGTGATCCCCTTACCAGTCAAAAAAAAAAAGAAAGAAAATATATATCTATATGCTACAGTTCGTTATGTGAGCCCCAAAACTATGTGTTGGAAACTAATCCCCAATTCAACAGTGTGGGACTTTAAGAGGTGATTAGGTCACTGGGGCTTTGCCCTCATGAATGGATTAATGTCATTATCACAGGAGTTGATTTGTTATAAAAGTGAGTTTGGCCCCCTTCCTTCCCCCTTCTTTCCCACCCTCCCCCCTTGCAAGAACTCTTCCCCCATGGTATGATGCAGCAATGAGGCCCTCACCAGATGTGGGCCCCTCTACCTTGGATTTCTAGACTCCAGGATTGTAAGAAATAAATTTATGCTCTTTATAAACCCAGTCTCAGGTATTATTATAGGAGCACAAAATGGACTAAAACACCATATTTGCTTGTATGTGCATAACATTTCTTTGGAAGGATACACAAGAAACTACTAATACTAGTTTCCTTTGGAGAGAAGAAATGTGTGGCTAGAGAACAGAGTGGTAGGGAAACTTCATTATATACCTTCCCTTTGCCACATAAATAAGATAAAATAAATGAATAATGTTTAAGGTGTAAGAAGTCACCTGTGTTTATTCTCAAGTTCCACAATTTCTTTAAAAGAAAATGACTGGGGATTTTAAAAAATGTTACAATCATTAATTAGCCCATCTGTTCTACAAGCTTACTAGCTCAGCCCCATCCTATGGTTTGCATCTAGCATCCTGCTGTTCAACTTCTACAACATACCACAATCTCCACCAAATTGCCTTAATTTATCTAATCCAATGTTAAGCAAGCCCGCATACAACCTCACAGCTCAGACCTGGTGTGAATCACACACACTGGCTGCTTACCTGGCAGAGATCTGCGTGTATTGAGGTCAGCTGGTTTGTATTCATCTGCATCTTGTCTATGGCTTGCTTAAGGATGCCAATTCCTCGCAGGGGCTGTCAGAAATGACATCTCTTTCAGATAAGTTCTCAAAGATGGCAGCACATTGGATCTTATGTTGTCACTTACAAATAAAAAATAACACTGATTGATAGGTTCCTTTAAACAGCAATATGAGGTTTCCACATTCTTTCAGGAATTTCTGTCCCCATTTTGATAGAAAACGTTTTCTTAAGCTGTTTTTTGGAATATCTAGATAACTCAGAACCATTTCTTAAATCATAAAGCTTTTTTTACAATGACAATCAGTAATCAAAAACAATATTACTTCCTCAACAGTTAGTTATATTTACACCTAAACGGCCCAAAATTTTCCAAATCATTTATAATAAGTTTCCTGACCTAGACTCTTATTAATTGTGAATACGAGTGTTGGCATTTTCCCATAGGGCAGTCTCGCCCTTACCTAGTAGTAAATTACTATTGAAACTATGGGCTGGCTGGTTTGCTCAGTTGGTTAAGAGTGTGGTGCTGATAACACCAAGGTCCAGGGTTCGATCCCTGTATCAGCCAGCCACCAAAAAAAAAAAGGAAAAAGAAAAAAAAGAAACCAATACCACAGGTTGCAAACAAACTGTTTTCCTGCCCTGATTATAAATAAAAAGAGCAGGTTTCAAGTGAGGCACAATCAGTTTCTGAACAGAAGATGATACTATAAAATAGTGAACAACTTACATGGCTTTTTAAATAAAGACTTGTTGATTTCTTTTTAACCATCTCTTTCAAACACAGTTTATTTAGTACTCCTACAAAATATTAACTGGTTCTTTTTGTTTTTAGCCTTCTTCAACCACTAATCTTAAAGTTCACATTCAAATAGAAAAGAAACACCCAAATTATAACTTGTGTCAATGTCACAAAAGATAAAGACCGAGAACTATTTCAGATTAAAGGAGACTAAAAAGACACAACAAGGGCCGGCCCGTGGCTCACTTGGGAGAGTGTGGTGCTGATAACACCAAGGCCATGGGTTCGGATCCCTATATAGGGATGGCCGATTGGCTCACTTCGAAGAGCGTGGTGCTGACAACACCAAGTCAAGGGTTAAGATCCCCTTACCGGTCATCTTTAAAAAAAAAAAAAACAAAAAAAAACTCCAAAACAATGTAATGCAACCCATGATGTGAGGTTTTCCTTTGATATAAAGGACATGAACTGAATAGCTGGCAAAACCTAAATAGGATCTACAGAATTGTTAAAACATTATATAAACGTTCATTTCCAGATGTTGATCATTGTATTGTGGTATGTAAGAGAATGTCCTTAGTTTTAGGAAGCACGCATTGAAATATTTAGGGGTAAGGGACAGCATATCTGTGATTTACTTTCCAATGGTACAGAAAAAAAGGGAGCAAGAGAAAGAAAAGGATAAGCACGTGTGGTAAAATGTTAACATTCAGAGAACCTGGGCAAAGAGTATATGGAAATTCTTTATACTATTCTTGCAGCTTTTCGTAAGGTTAAAATTATGTCATAATTAAGAGCTATCAAGTTGAATTATGAAGACCAACAACAAAATAAATAGTAAATAAAAGTTAAAGGAAAAAAATTTAATGAACAAAACCTAGCAAATTATAATATAAAGGGCACTAGATTGGTAGTTTCAAAAACACCACCACCAGCAGTCACCCCCCTTGAGCCACCCCATCTCCCTTTGCCTCCTAGTCACTCACCTGCCATAGGGGCTAGCTGCCCTTACAGCAAGGCTTTTAGTTTTCTCAAGGGACCATAGCCATCTAAGTGTTGGGATGCTTATCACTAACCTGGAATCTTAAGGAATTAGTTCATTGCATAACTTAGATATGTATTATAACAGAACCATGAATACTTGAATAACATTGCTTACCTGTTTTCTTTCCACAAGTGCATTTGTTAGCTGATGGCAAAGCCCAGCAACTAGATACAATAATAAAATATTGAAAATATAAATAACTACAATGGCAAAATACATTAGATGGAAAATAAAATGTTATTTAGCTTACAAGTGTCTGTTGCATATCGAATGTGCTCCCCATTACAAGTACTGATGAAAAGCTGAACCTGTGAGAATAACGTTTCGAAGTCAGGAACACTGGGCATAGAAAACTTCACAAACCTAGAATAAGGAGAAAAGAATCTAATTACCCTGATATTTCATGGGGTAAAACGAAGAAGCAACTTATGCCAGAAGGCCATCCTGCCTCCAAACTCTGAAATAAAATGAGTAACGTATTTTTAAAAATTAAAAACTAGAGTCCTTGAGATTCTCCTAGCCTGGTTCTTTTATACAATCAAGATATACAACAATAAAAAAAACACACAACATAGACACAAATAGGAGTTAAGAAAAATACACTTAAAAAATAACAACTTTCGGGGCTGGCCCGGTGGCGCACTGGATAGTGCGCCGCTTGGGAAGCGCGGCGGCGCTCCCGTCCGAGGGTTCGGATCCCACATACAGACCGGCTCCCGCTCACTGGCTGAGCGAGGCGCGGGAGCAACGCCGAGGCTTGCGATCCCGTTGCCGGTCCCAGGTCTGGTACAGGGGCAACACTGAGGGTTGCGATCCGTTGCCAGACACGGAAAAAAAAAAAAAAAAAAAAAAAAAAAAAAA